AAGTGCGCCATTACAATGTCCTTTAATACATCCAGTAGGTTTTTAAATCTAACCTGTCAGGGTTCCTTCTGCCTCCCCATAGTGGTAATGAGATCATTACGGGTCCCACCGGTTAGTTCTCCATCTGTTCCCATTGGATAAAGCTTTCAGCATACAGAGTTCCACTGAATTCCAGGCAGCTCCATAGATGTACATTGCTCATAGCTGATTTGTAAAGCTGCCCATACATCTTACGAACATCGGCCGATTTTCGTTTGCGATCGCATTTTTGTCCGATATTCGTAAGGTTGATGGGCAGTGTACAACAGCAAATACTGTACAATCGTACGACTTTTAGCTAACTAGCAGGTTAGAAAACTTCGGTCGATCGTACGATTTTCGCAAGGTTGGTGGCGTTTCCATACGATTTACACTGCACATGCGCAGACGAAAATACGTACGGTCGATTACTGCATTTTGTCCAGGTGCTTTCCTTTAATTACTGCTGATTCAAGCTAGATATAAACTGGGCAGGATGGGGCCGCCGTGTGATATAGAGGCTATATTCTGTATATCCTCAAAGGTAAATTAATTATAAAATAACATGACTCAATAATATTGATTTACAGAGTTTTCCTTGGCATAGAGAGAAAAAAGGAATGGTCAGAATAATACTTCCATGAAAGAATAAAAAGAATACTGTGCGATAGATCATTTATTACAGAGACTGTACAATAGAAACAATGTTATACTAAGATCTGTAAACCAATGACATCTAGTGTCCCAAATGGGCATTGCAGAATCTCTTGCAGAGAAAGAAAAACTTGTAAAAACAAAAGCATCATTTTTAATAAATAAAAAAAAAAAGTATTTTATTAACAATGTACTGGAGCACCCCGTTTAATTAAAATGCCCACACCGCCACATTCACACATGTATGAACATAAACTCATGCTTTCGGTGTGGCTTCATATGAAAATGACGATTGCACCACACGTTAGGTATCACTACGCACACCAGAGTAAGATCAATCATTCTAGGGCCATTGCTTAAGGTTTCTAAAGCGTTGTCTATGGTTTTAGGCGCCATTGTTTTTTTTTGCTGTTTCAGAGGTGCACACGATTGAAAGCCTGGACATGTTTGGTATCTATTTACTTGACTTACCTCATATTTTATATGTTAAAAAAGAGTATATTATATTGTATTTCTGTGCACTAAAATTAATTTGAACTAATTTTTTACTAAAAATGTAAGCTTGATAAACTGTAGTTTATTTTTACTGTGTGACATAAAAATTGCAACTGCCACCATTTGCTTCTCAGAAAATATATAATTTTGGGGGGTTTTAAACAGTTTTCAGACCTACAAGGTGCATTTTAACATGTGTTTAAAAATGAAGAAATGGCTCTGGCAAAAAAATCCAAATATCAGCCCTTGAAAAGAAGAACTTTAATGATTACCTCTCTGGTGGGTGGCGACACCTAATTTCGCTGTGCTGAAGGTCTGCGGCGGCTAAACAATAAAGAATGTTCCGCATCTGACAAACTCCCATTCTTTCATCCATTCTATCATGACCAGTTCTTGTTTACTGCTTTTGCTGCCAGACCATTTATTTATTTCTTTTTGTTCACACACATGCTAAAATACGCATTTTGGCAAATCAAAATGACTGAAGACTCTTAACCTGGAAGAAGACTAGAAGAAGATAAAAGCATTGGCAATGGAGGGGAGTGTGGACATTGCAGCACTGGATGGGATCATTTTGGTACATACACGTGCCATAATGTGCAGATATGCTGTACATAGATCCTGGGGGACCAAATTTTTAATTTTGCTGTGAGAAGATGAGAGCGGTCTGATGTCCTTGAGGTTATTTGGGGTGAGGAGTCAGCTATCAAACATAAAGCACTAGCTAATGAGTTTGGAATGCCTTCTGTAAGGCCTTGTTCACACCAAGCGTGTTCCAGGAGCAGAGCTGAGCAGTTACAGACCGGAGCAAAACTGCGTCCAATGTATTCCAATGGTATTTTTAGCTCCAGTTCACATGGCAGCGTTCCGTTCCGTTCCAGAGCAGGTAAAAAAACTGCAGCAGGCCCTATTTTACCTGCTCTGGAACGCATGCAAATGCATCAAAAGGCATGCAAACGCCCTGGAACGCACTGAAAGCCCATTTTAAACTTAAAAAAAAGTTTTTTTTTAACCAAAAACGGCCCGAAACGCATCAAAAACGCGGCACAACCCACTGCACTGCGTGTGCAGAAACACATGCAGATCTACTCTGCATTTGGTGTAAACAAGGCCTAAAAGAAATTAATTCTCCACATGAGAGAATGTATCCAGGACATGGAAGACAGCTTAGGCCTCGTTCACACGGGGCGATCTGGGATTCCTGCGGCAAGACACTACAGATCCTGGGGCATGAATGCCAGGCGCTCTCATTCAGATGCAGCCGCTGTGCCCGTCCAAGTAAATGACAGGGTGACAGCGGCTGCATCTGTAAGCGGCAGACCGCATGTAATTGTGTGTGACATGTGGTTTGGTATAGATCCCTGTTGCTGTATGCAGGATAGATGCGTTCATGGACAGTGATCTATTCTGAACTGCATGTAATTGTATCACATAACATGCAGGCTGCCACTTAAAGATGCGGCCACTGTCACCCTGTCATATACCTGAGCAGGTACAGTGGACGCATCTGAACGGTGACATCTGGCATTCCTGCCACAGGAATTCGTAGGTTCTTGCCTTTGGAATAGCAGATCGCCCCGTGTGAATGAAGCCTAAGTCTGGGCTTTCCCTGGAAAGTTAACCCCTTCATGACTGAGGCCCTTTTTTCAATTTTTGCACCCATGTTATATTCCACATTTTAGGCCTGAAAATGATGTAATCTGTACACTGTGCAATAGGGAGTGGAGCAATGAGAAAAGATTATTTCCTTGTTCACCCCGGCTGCAAGCTTCAGTCTGTGTCCCCTCTGATCCCTGCTGCTCTCCCCTGCCTGTGTCGGCAGAGGGGATAGGAGGGGACATAGCCGATCCAGCTGCCGGCTCCCATTAGGGAGTAGAAAGCTGTCAGGAGGCCGAACGGGGTGGAAAGCTCTGGCAGAAGAGGGTGGAGCTTCAGAATCGGTAAAAATTTACTGATCCTTCGCTGTACTGAGCAAACTCAGGATATAGTAATTACTAGAGATGCACTGAAATTACAGGTGCTGAAACATTTCGGCTAAAAATGGCACTTTTGGCGAAAGCCTAATTTGGGCCCATCCCATTAATAGAGATTAGAGATGTAGGAGGGAGTGGGGGTCAACAAGAAAAGTCAGGATTTACACAGAACGTTAGCTGACTTTACCTCTGGATCTGCTGATTATGTTAACATGGAGTTAGTTTTTCCCAATCTTTTTTAAAAGGAGGTGCCGCTGGTTGCAAATTGTTGATTGTGTACATGTACGGTGTACACATGTAAACATTAGCACAACATTTAGACCCCTTCCACACAGGCAGTCTGATCAGGTCTGCCTGTCAGTTTTTCAGGCGGACCCTGATCGGATGCCCAATGCTAGCCTATGGCCAACCTGGTCTAAATGGATGCCCATCAGTTTACACACCTCTGACTCTGGCCAGGCCTGGTAAAAGGAATGGAACAGAGTTCCATTTCTCTGGACCTGATCGTGCCAGATTGTGGGTAATCTGATGCAAATGGACAGATATCCATGTTCAGCAGTGACATCTGATCCATACTGCTCTGATCAAGAGGGGATCCATGCACAGATCTGCTCCTGATCAGCCTATGTGAAAGGGGCCTTACATGTGTAAAGCCATGAAAAACACAGATATGACATCCCCGGATCCCATCATTGTTTGGCTTTTTTTTACATTTTATTTTACATGGGAGAAATCAGCAAAACATTACACTGCCAGGCACAAAAGTAGGAGTGGGCCCATAGACTTCTATTCTGCTGAGTACAACACTATGATATTGTGCAATTCTGTACACAATGAGGGGAATTTGTCAAAACTGGAGCAGACAAAATCTGGAGCAGCTGTGCATGGCAGCCAATCAGCTTCTCTCTTCAGTTTGTTCAGCTAATATTTGAAAATGAAAGAGAGAAGCTGATTGGTTGCCATGCACATCTGCTCCAGATTTTGATAAATTCCCCTCTATGTTTTTGACGTCCATGTGAATGAGCCTTTAGTGTGAATACTCCATCTCTCTTTTCATCTGTCACATACATACATTGTTTTCATGTTTTCTGGACTGTCAGCTGATGTACTCATCCTCTACAGCAATGGTGACAGATGCTTATGCTGCTGACATTCATGTAGTGACATTAGTGCTGTTCTCTGCAGCATTCTCCTGTGAGCCCAGGCCAGAGTGATGACGTACTCCTAGGGCGTGTGTCCATGACACCCTGGGCTCACAGAAAGGGGGAGAATGACACTGGCCGTCATGCAGCCTGGGAGGGATCCAGCAGCGCAGGATGGAGGAGGACACAATGGATGGAGCGAGTGAATAAAAACCCTTTTTATTTAATACAGGTGGAACTATGTTGTTTTTTTTCTGTTGGAGATTGGCTTTGAGTCGTCCTTATAACAGAAAAGATTAATGGATGTCACTATTGCATATTTGTCCAATTACAACAAGAACACACAGCAGACATTCCTGCCCTGCTCCTCTCTATGGGCAGTGCGATATAAGTCAGCGGGCTCCTTTATTAGCTTCCCCTCTCTTCACATTTCTATCGATCTCTTCTAAAGGAGGAATATTCTGGGTGGAGCCGTTATCAGGGTCTCCATACAACTTGGTACGGCAGATCTGTAGCCACCAGCCAGTTGACTGAGACAGATGCTGGGAGCGCAGCATCCGCCGCCAACAGCGAATCATCCTTCAGCATGTCACCGCAGCCAGCCAATCACATCTCTCCTCCGACAAGCCTTTTCTTCCACACGGTGTCATTGGAGAGTCACGCCCAGTCCGTCTATTGGCTCTGAGTGACGGGTGTGGGCGTGGTCCGGTGGCAGCAGGGAAGTGTTTTGCTGGGTGACTTCCGGTTCTCGCTTTGAGCCAGTCCATCCATTCCTCGGCAGCGGCACTGGCGGCTTGTGTACCGGTACTGCGGGGAGGGATGGTAGAGGCGGGAGCCCGGCTTTCCATATTACCTGAGCCTGGATCTACTGCCTCTATTTCCGGCCCGTCACCGACACACTGACCGACTGACACTACAGCAAGCATGGCCAGCGGGGAGCTGCAGGGCAAGTACCAGAAGCTGGCACAGGAGTACTCCAAGGTGAGGAGGCCACTACACATCCATCACCACTGACACCCATCATCATCATCATCACCACTGACACCCATCATCATCATCATCACCACTGACACCCATCATCATCATCATCACCACTGACACCCATCATCATCATCATCACCACTGACACCCATCATCATCATCATCACCACTGACACCCATCATCATCATCATCACCACTGACACCCATCATCATCATCATCACCACTGACACCCATCATCATCATCATCACCACTGACACCCATCATCATCATTGCTGTCACTGACACCCATCATCATCATTGCTGTCACTTACACCCTTCATCATCATTGCTGTCACTGACGCCCTTCATCATCATCATCATCATTGCTGCCACTGACACCCTTCATCATCAGCACTGACACTGACACCCATCATCACCACCGCCACTGACACACATCGTCACCGCCGCTGACATCCCTCATCATCGCCGCCGACACCCCTCATCGCCGCCGGCACCCATCATTGCCGTCACCTCTGTCACCCATCTACACCCATCATCTCCACTGACGCCCATCATCACCGCTACCACTGTCACCCATCATCGCCGATGCCACTGACACCCGGCTACACTGAGTGTGTGTACAGCTGCTTCTTGTCTCTATTTCTCTGGAAGCACATGTGACATGTTTACACTGCAGCACGGCAACTAGTAGACAGGACCGTTGCCACGTCCTAACAGGAAGTGCTTTTACAAGGACCTTTATGGCAGGATCGCCAGGCACTTTAATGAAAGCTGCAAAAAAAACCATATATAATTTAGTGATTGGGTTTACATCTACTTGACTGTACCTTCTGCTGAACACTTATTGGGATTGATTGGAGGAGGTTCATGACCAAATAGATTCACAATGCTGTTGCATTCATGGGCCGTACTGCACATACAAAAGCTTCCAGTCAGCTGTAAGTATATAAAGCCTGTATTGGGGGTGATGGGTGAATACAGAGAGGTGGGCGGCCCTTTCTCCTCTCTGCACTGCAATGCTGCAAAATGAGCACTGGTTGTAGAGTTGGAGTATGTTGACATTGCAGCCCTTCTTCCTCCCTGTGGCTTCCTTGGTAACAAACCTCCAACTCATACTTTAGCTGGGACACTTGTGTTCACGAGGTGCAGAGCTTCAGATTCAGGCCTCGGCACCATCACATAGCAAGAGGTGCTCTGCTTTTTTTCCGGAGGAATTCCAGACAAAAGGTATGTTTTCAGGTTTCTGCTTGGACACTATGAAAAGTTCTAGATGTGTCCTGGAACATGGCAAACCTTCATTTGTGAGTTCACGTTCACTTTAAGGCTGGATCTGCACCTTTTGTGTGCACAGCATTTCAGTGTGCTACAATGCAGTGTATATGTATAGTGTACATTGCCATTCATTATGAATGACACCCTGTACAGTATATAGTGTAGACACAGAGTAGGCAAACCCTGGCTCTCCAGCTGTTGTGGAACTACAAATCCCATTAGACAATACAACAATCTGACAGTCACAGGCATGACTCTAAGAGGAAGATTTGTAATAGGATTTGTAGTTTTACAGAACTTTTTTTCCCCCCTTTCATTGAAGTTTGTTAAGTGAATTGACTGCCTTAATGCAATTTGTGGGGGGGGG